TAAATTCGGAAAATGAGGTCTCACGTACACTAATTGATGAATAATTTTCATGGTGGACACATTACGTTGAATTTGTCCACCATGAAACTGGAACCACCTTTTTCAGCAGTTCCGAATACTGTATATAATAGTTTAACAAATACTATAGCGCCATATTATGCGAATATATAAGCTTCAGTCTAAATTTTACAAATTCTAAAAATAAAAAAAACGCGCTCTATATGCATGAATAAAGGCATGAATTGAATTTTCCCTGTGAATTTTCCACTAACAAACTGTCGAACTCTGAAAGAGTTTCTTAGTTTCGACGAACGGACATATGTACAGTACTGTATAATAGGTTGCCAATAATTTAAGATGGTTTCATTTATAACATTTCGAACTCAAGGCATTGTTCTATCTGATAAATCCACGTGGTATATATATTACCAAAATTGGAATATTACTCGGACGATAATAGGCCGCATTTTTTGCGCGAAAAAATTTGATAGAAACCTTTGGTGCCGCATATTTTTGACTTTCTTGAGATTATTTAGGCCACAGGGACAAATAATGTGACCATTTTGAAGGTGTGAAAAATGTGTCAATTTTAATGGGAGGCAAACTCTTCTCTGAATGTTGCACTCTTGAATTAATTTCACAAGAATGGACTTGAATTTTCAAAACCTGCAGCCATTCAAAAAATTATGTGTAGTTCTTTCCACGCAAAAAAAAAAAAAACAGTTAAACACCTCAGAAAAGAATGCCCTGAAATTACTGTACAGCGAGATTTTTTTCTTATCAAAAAGATTCCGCGTGGTAAAGGTTCGATAACTAATACGAAGATATTTCTGATTTAAAAAAAAACTCATGTAATAAAATAAGCTCTTGCGTAATTGTATCTTTCCGCCTTCTGTCAACAAGATCTGATCTGCTTCATCCAGAACTTCACTATAATTAACCTCGATGAGTCAAAACGTAGAACTCGATTTTCCTTTCAGCTTTAAAGTGGACATCTGGTTATTTCGTCACATACTCACATACATACACTTCCCTGTTCATAATAATGTACGTAGGGGGGGGGGGGTCAAACGAAAACTTATAACCGCGTTTCCGGGAATGTTCCCAAAAGTCGTTGCCCATCTTTTCTTTCTCGCGTTTCGGGCTGGGCTTATATATATATTCGGGTGTCTCGATTAATGAAGCATACATAACGAGACTAGCATGCGGGCTGTCACACGCTTTTCGAAGCATAAAAAATCGCGACACGAAGGTATCTTCGTGGTGTATTTGTCTTACAAACACCACGGATTTTGAGAGCAACGGATTCTTTTTGCTCCAAATCCATAGAAGCTTCCTTCTGTGTGCCCCCGGGGCTTTTTATATACGTGTATACTACTGCATCAACGACACACGGAATCTAAGGTCTACCTTAAATGGAGGTCAGAGGAATGCCTACAGCAGTTTGTTCAGTTGGCTACGTTACACACAGCTCCGTGTCTGACCGATGAAAAATAAAGAGAAAATATTTAAGTACGAGGAATTGCTGCGTCTAAGTTCCGAGACTACTTCGGTATGAAAGACGAAGCGATTTTTTTTTTCAAATCTGAAAAAGAAAAATCCGACAGCCACGTTACCTCGTCGCCCACATTCACAGGGACAGCAATTCAGTAATTTTAAATTTAGTTCGTACTTATGTCAATGAATTCAATCATGATAAGAATTCAGTGCATTTGTACAATAGCTTTCAAATGGCCCTTCCCCAGGTGTCACATTATATACAAGTTATCATTTTTGTCCATTTATCTAAACTGTAAGGGCAAAAACACTCCTCGTTGGCAGTCTATTATTGGTGATTCGTGCATTAAACATGGCAATCATCTAAAGTGACAGCAATTACCTGGGTTTCAAGAATGAATTCATCTTTTCGGCGAAAGCAACCAAACCCTAAGCTCCTCAAGAATATAAACGTCGAAAGAAAATTTTGAAAAAGCGGATTTCATTGCTGGTCACTCATCGGACGAGTCAAAAACTTTTGGTTCAAGGAAATTTATCACCGGGTTTGAAAATATGTTCATGAATGGTCGATCAAACATTAAAACAAATATAATCTTCAAGGTAGGATCCATATATTAAACTCCAGGTTGTGTTTTCGGGTGCAACGGGAAATATAGGTGCCGAGACCAAGAGTTAGACAGCAAGCTGACAAATTGCACGCATGCTGATTCAACTTGCAGATTTATGGAAAATGCGAAAAGAATGACATCGCCAGTTCAGGGGATCATTAGTCCTTCCCAGAAGAATAATTACCAGTACTGAATTCTGCATCAGCGTTCGCAGGATGTCGTTCAAAGAGGATAATTAGATCCGTCTCATTAGTATAAACGGGTTCTCGTGTACTACATGAGGACAGAATTTTGATAAACTGGTTCAAAGGAACAGGGTTGAAACTGTTGCATCGCATTATTGAGGTCGTACACAAGTTCGGAAGCTGTCATTGCTTCGATGCCTATACGTGTATATACTCGAGCCCAGCAACATAGAAATAAGTTTTCTATTTAAAAAAAAATGCAGTAAATAATATTCTTATATGCACTCATTGAAAGACAAAATCCCCTGAATTAACAACGCATTGCAAAGACGAGTGAATCTACGTACTTCAATTTCCCATGAGCAAATCAAATAATTTCCTAGACTCGAACAGTACGTACGATCATGCGCCGTTTATAGCGAGTACGGTAAAAAAAAATTTGTGAAACAGCAAAATTCCACGATTCAAAACTGAAAATATTGATTGATCAATATCACAAATTGGGTACAGAAGCCTACCCAATATTAAGTTTGACAATACGTGTACCGTGGGGGGGGGGGGGCAAATCCTGCAGGTTCTGATGCACAGTTTTAATTTACATCGGTCGAACTACCCCCTGCTTATTTATTGTGGATTATTTTCATATTTAGATAATTTATGCCTTTATGTAATATGGTTTCGTCATTGCCGTCATCTTTCAGTGATAATCCAAATTTCGTTGACGTAAAAAGTACTCTTTCAAACAGTCAAGTTCTAAATTAGATGCTTCGGTTTTCCTCTGCAAATGTACATCGCAGCGACATCTACAATCCCAGAGGAAAAGCTTACGTCTGTCTTCCAGGTCGTCCTCTTATCTGGAAGAGAATTCAAGTAAAGTTATTAGTTTTAGGGTTTTAACGTTTGTTTTAGTTTTGATTGAGTTACTATGTTAATATGATTTATTCGTAGGAATCGGTTAGTTTCTGTCTTCCGCTATGATACTCGCAAGGCACGAAGACTTGCATTAATTTTTTTTATAAAATGAATATTCGCGGCATTGAAAACATTTTCATATATGGCAATTTAAAAATGCATCGTTCTTGTGCATGGAACAGGGACTTCCAATAAATAAAAAAAGTGAATTCATTGAAACTTGTGATCGCGAGATTTTACCGAGAGATCATTACGAAGATAGTTTTTCATTTCAGGATTCATGCAGTTCAACAGCATGCCAAAACTCCTTGTTCTAGAGATACAGCAGGTTGACTTTTACAGTTTTACACAGAGAAAATTGGTGTGGACAATACTGTCGTATACAGAGTCCACCTGTAGAAAGAATTTTGTTGGAGAGAACGCCTATAGCATCAGGAAAGAACCCTATGGCCTATGCAATTAAAGAAAAACCATTATTCTGGGAAAACCATTGTACACAACAAGCTTGTTGTAAAGAGAATACAGGTGGTAACTTGCAATTCAATCTCCTTCCAAAATACAACAGTCAAATTTGCTGGGAGTTTTGACTCGCAATCCAAGCATAGATAAGGAATGATTCCTGACAAATGAGTGTCCATCGGCAAGTTGGGGTTTTTATTCCAACTCTGAACAAGTCATGCGCCATATTGCATCATTCATGATCATGGCTGCAACACCGGAAATCCTGAGTTGTGTATAGCCCCCGCCGACGGGAGCGACCCCAGGACTTTCCGCCTGTGCGTGATCCCACGATTGCGGCGTGATCCGTCTACGCGGAACATGACGCGTGCTGCGTGAACTGACTTTCGCCCCTTTCCCCCCCACGGCCCGATTTTGGGTCCACAGTGTAGTATATGTTTTTTTACGATACACTGTATATATATACGGAAAATACAATGACTGCAGTATATCTATACGCAGTATATATTCAAAGTCAGCGGTCCCAGCAGCACCATGCAGCCACTATATATACGTACGTTGCATCATTACATGGCTGCTGGCGTTTGACGTTTCTTCCTTCCGGATGTGGGTTCAGACTCGTGTATATGATGACGAGCGCGGGGGGAAACCCCCGAAGGAAAATCCCTAATCAGCGCTCCCATGCGCGCTGTTCCCATCACGATCCATGTCACGTCATCATTGATTCGCATATTATATATAAGGAAAATGTTTCCATCATCACTATATATACTGTATATATATATACCCTTTCTCTTGATTTTCCCCCCTTTTTTTCCCTTTCCGGTTTTTGGGAATAATTATCTCAAAATCATGCACTACACTGCACGTGAGGGAATGTATAATCGCGTTCATGTCTAAACTCGCTGGTTTTTTGATGGATTGAAAAAAAAGCTTGGTTCGAACGAGTATGAAATAAATTTCCAGGCAATTTTTGTGTGAATAGTATGAAAAAGTACAGTCGCCTTTCCACCTTTTATATGAAAATCAACAGCCGTACAATGATGAGTTCTCTTATTTAAATTCTTACATAACAATTATATCGCAATACAAACTGTCTATCGAGGCAAGACATTTTTGTTTTTTGTAATGGACTAATATAATTACACCGAAATTGAAATTCCTATTTAAAATGCGTTCACTGATGGAAATTCAACGCTCATCTTGGTGAAGTTAGACAAAACTTAACCATATCACATGTGTAAGTTATAAGTATGTCATATTTTTGACCTGCTTTTCCAAAGTAAACGTTGAAAAAGCACAAATTAATTGAACGATTGTCCTATTATTCACAATGTCATTAAGGCTCCTTAACCTAAAGAAAAATCAATGTGTTCCCAGACCTGAAACCAATGCTTTATTAATAATATTAACAATTCTACAGTTTTAGAATTTTTGTCTTAGCGATGCTGAATATGAATTGCTTTCTAAAAATGTCAATTGATCAGCTATAATTCAAATGATAAAGTAATACGTGTTTCAGCAGAATTTTATTCTCAAGAGATAAATGACGGATTTATTGTACTTCGAATCTTCAATTAATCCCAAAGGGCTTTCGAATATTCTGAATTGAAAACGTGGGAAAATTGCGTTCATCAGTAAAAAAAATGTACAGTAAAAACATGAAATTATTGAATTATTGAAATACTTTAAAAACGTTCAGGATAAATAAAGGTAAATGTTTTAGGCAATAAGCTCTTAAAGTTTTTCTGAACTAAAGTGCTGTCTTAAAACTGGATAGTAACCGTAGTAATCCTACCCCACGAAAATTTTAGATAATGTAAATTAGTTATCTGTGCTAATAAAGAATCAGGTCGATGAAACCGTTTTCCCCGTTATGCTGACCTTCTTTACGAAAATGAAACAATTCTTCATATTTTTCGTGCATAGGACGCATATTTACGCTTGAACTAAATAAAAGACGCCAGACTGACGAACATATGAACCCTTTTTGAATTTAGTACTACATACGTCGGGTGCAGAATGACGGATGAGGCGTCAGCATGGGATCGCATTTCCGGGACGGACCCAGAACCGGGTCGCAAGTGGGAGAAATGCTTGTTTCCAAGGTCTACTGGGTCGAAGGGGAACTTGAAAGGGAGGAAACTTGAACAGTGCAAATTTTGGAGCACGAAAAATCTCAAGTGCCAACTGTGGTCTTATTTACGTTCAGCCCCGAAAAGAACAAATAAGTTATACTGTAACTTGCAAGGCACAGTTTTCCTCGTCTCAGATATTCAAGAATGAGTGTACGTTGTGCGGCGTATATATTACTGAAGGACGTTTACTTTTTTCTTGACAGCAGAACGATTAAGTTTGTGGAAATTCCATACAAATGGCATAATACAGTACATGATTCAGCACCAATTATGTGAGTCCCACATGAAAAGTATCTGCTCTGGTCAAAATTGTCATGGAAAGTAAAGTTGGTTGTGCCATTCTTCGAGCATTTTCGGGTAGTTTTTTTTTTTCTATCAAAAAACTTTTTTAAGACCCTGTACGCATCGATCTTCAAAATTAACGTCACGCAATAATCTTCGCAATGACTCGAATTACCAGCAAGACTTTAGAATATTTGATTCTTAGCGAAGAAAAAAAAATGAATGTGTTATAAATAGTATGTACAGATATTGTTTTCTGATGAAGATGCTTGAATATTGAGGTCGAAAAATTAATCGTATTGAGAGAATCATTGAATAAAAAATGTTACTGTGCAGGGATAATGGGTCTAATATACTGAGAAAGTCTTGACACGTAAAAACACGTTAAATTAAAACCTTGAATTCACATTTTATTGCTTCCGAGCAACTGTGAAAAAATCAATATTGAATAAAAAAAAAAAGACGCCTAAATATTCTAACAGGCGAGAAGTATTTTTCTTGGTAAGTACATATTTTTATTGCTTTCATCCAGCAAGCAGCTGAGACATGAAGATAATGGTCTGAATTTGTCTGAGACCATCTGAAATTCCAGAGAAACTTCCGGGGTATTAGATTTGACATCCCGGAAAATGCGATCCCAAGACGTCAAATTGAGCCAACCTGAAGCGCAACCCGAAGCTCTGTTTTGCATACCAAAAGTGTTATAATCGGTATTGAAAGCACTCAAGTACCGAGAAACTGAACGCATGCAAACATGAAAGTACTTGCGTTGAAAATGCGGTAACCGCTGTAAAACAAAAATGTCGACAGGAAGTTGACCACGCGGAAGTTAGAATTGGATGCCGTAGCAGGCAACACACGTGTTGATTCAAAATGAACAAGTGCCATCAGCAGGTCTGGACTCACGATTAGTGCTTCCGAGGTACTGCGGCAAGTACTTGCTTTAATTTCGCGCGAACGAAGTACTTCTCACATCAACTGCATGCCAAGGTACTGTACGTGTATATGGTATGTTCAATAGGGCATTGCCTGCATTTTTAAAAGTTCTTAATTTTCCGAAAAATTATTCTAGACANCCAGATGACCCAGCTTCCCCTTGAACTTTCCCTCCTTTGAACTTGTCACGTTTAAAACCTCGTGCTTTTTAGAGTTCACGGTTGACACCAGAATAAATGCAAGTCGGGGCTTTTCTTGTTTATTCAATTACTGAAACTTTCAAGGCACAGATTTCCTCGTCTCAGATATTCAAGAATGAGTGTACGTTGTGCGGCGTATATATTACTGAAGGACGTTTACTTTTTTCTTGACAGCAGAACGATTAAGTTTGTTGAAATTCCATACAAATAGCATTATACAGTACATGATTCAGCACCAATTATTTGAGTCCCACATGAAAAGTATCTGCTCTGGTCAAAATTGTCATGAAAAGTAAAGTTGGTTGTGCCATTCTTCGAGCATTTTCGGGTAGTTTTTTTCTATCAAAAAACTGTTTTTTAAGACCCTGTAAGCATCGATCTTCAAAATTAACGTCACGCAATAATCTTCGCAATGACTCGAATTACCAGCAAGACTTTAGAATATTTGATTCTTAGCGAAGAAAAAAAATGAATGTGTTATAAATATTATGTACAGATATTGTATTCTGATGAAGACGCTTGAATATATTGAGGTCGAAAAATTAGTCGTATTGAGAGAATCATTGAATAAAAAATTTTACTGTATACGTGCAGGGATAATGGGTCTAATATATTGAGAAAGTCTTGATGCGTAAAAACACGTTAAATTAAAACCTTAAATTCACATTTTATCGCTTCAGAGCAACTGTGAAAAAATCAATCTTGAATGTCGATTATTCAGCTGAAAACGAAAAAACGCCGCCTAAATATTCTAACAGGCGAGAAGTATTTTTCTTGGTAGGTACATATTTTTATTGCTTTCATCCAGCAAGTAGCTGAGACATGAAGATAATGGTCTGAATTTGTCTGAGACCGTCTTAAATTCCGGAGAAACTTCCTGGGCATTAGATTCGACATCCCGGAAAATGCGATCCCAAGACATCAAATTGAGCCAACCTGAAGCGCAACCCGAAGCTCTGTTTTGCATACCAAAAGTGTTATAATCGGTATTGAAAGTACTCAAGTACCGAGAAACTGAACGCATGCTGCAAACATGAAAGTACTGGCGCTGAAAATGCGGTAACCGCTGTAAAACAAAAATGTCGACAGGAAGTTGACCACGCGGAAGTTAGAATTGGATGCCGTAGCAGGCAACACACGTGTTGATTCAAAATGAACAAGTGCCATCAGCAGGTCTGGACTCACGATTAGTGCTTCCGAGGTACTGCGGCAAGTACTTGCTTTAATTTCGCGCGAACGAAGTACTTCTCACATCAACTGCATGCCAAGGTACTGTACGTGTATATGGTATGTTCAATAGGGCATTGCCTGCATTTTTAAAAGTTCTTAATTTTCCGAAAAATTATTCTAGACAAGGGTCAAGAAACTGAGACTTGATTTGGTTTATTGCTTCTCCCAGCTGTTTTTTTTTTTTTACAGTAGAAAATTAAATCCGCAGAAGTGAACCATAGAAGAACAGTGGATAGATTTCAGCTGAAATCGATGGTGAGCTATTTCAAGGATTTATTCTAATATACTGTAATGTGTTAATTACGAAGATTCTCCCTTGTCTTGAGGATGCTTTTCCCTGTTGGATCATGTGTCCTCAAGTGATTCTCATGCCGTGCTCATAACTTCACTCATTTTACTGTTGGATTTCATAAAAAATTAATATTGAGAATAGTGTTTGTTTAATGCTTGTTATCGTAAAGTTATACGGCACCTTGCAGTTTTTAAATAAGTTGAAGGTGCTGTGGTCGGTAAAGTACGTATTGCACATTGTTTTAGATTTGCAGCAGCAAGATTTCAAGCTCTATAAGAGAGCTGAAAATTTAAACGAAACTTTATCAAGGAGATAACCATTCCTTACTTTGTTTTCTGTTCGGTTCCGTTCTCCCTAGATTTTGTGTCATTTATATTGCCCAGATGTACAGTAAGAAGACAAAACGTGAGCTCACCGTGTCGATCAGATCAATGATTTTCGACATGTAGAAATGCCAGATACACGCAGCCATCTGAAATAAAAAATTCAAATGATTTAGGATTAGAAAAACCCCTTGAAAAATAATCTTTAAAATGTTTTCCGTTCGAAAAGGCATGTAAATCATTTTCAGAAAACTATAACTATTTCTGAAATTAATCCCATCAATTTATTGAAAATGCCAGTGTGAAGAAAAATCGATGAATGCAGATGAGAAATTCTCACCCGCGCCTCAAGAGGTCCCGTGGAGGAATTAACCGGTTCGCACCGCAAGCTGTACTTCATGGAGACAGCTAGGTACAAAAACTGCGGAAGGGAAGAAAACAATAATATTTTACACCTAGATGTCGCTCGATGGTTCAGTTTTCTCGCAGTCGTAAACGCGGGCAACAGCAGCGGCTCATATTATTTCTCCGACGAATTACGGCAATTCTACAGAATAACAGGTCAGTTTCACGATCCCTGGGATAACAATGACAAAATGTAGAAAAAAATATTTGAGAATTATTACGTGTTTACTTTAATTAGTTATGGGTAATGTTGTGGTTGTTTTGCGGATTTATAAATTCATTCAGATTCGATGCGTCGAGGGTTTCTCAAAGGAAAACCAAGCTTTTGAAAAACACGCATAACGATGGCAGAAATGAATAGGCCACCCATATAGTCTGCAAAAAGTCATAGTTTTTTTTCTCATTTGGGTCAGTGTCGGGTCTCATACCTCAGTCCACATGAACGTGCTGTACATGATCTGGAATACGTTGAATGCAAAAAGGGCTCGTTTCGCTTCGATCGGCTTGAAGAAGGCCATGATTTTTGGGCCGTGCATCACGAGGGGCATGTAGAACATCACCAGGAACATCACAGGATACAGCGGACTCTTGACGAACAACCATTCTTTCGTCCGTGGATCTTCAACGAACGGGAAGAATCAATAATATAATGTGATACTCTATTTATGAAATTTTTATCCGTTATCCCGATTTTTGAATGTTTCTCGATTCAATTTTCTCGGAAGATCGCAACGGTTTCTCATCATTCATCCATGGAGCATCTCATCTCACTCGAGCGTTCATGCAAAATGGTACATTATTCGCTCCACCGGGGTTTTCCGTTATCCTTTCAATTACTGTAAAAGGTGTATCCGTCCTTGAATGCAGTCATTTGGGTGCAGAGAATCATTCATTGCTTTTATTCCTTCGACATCCACGAGTTGGCTTTGATATTTTTCTCGTTTTCGGGATCGAAATTATGAGTTTAACAAGCAGAATAGTGTTCGGTATATTGTCTTTTTCAGTGCTGAACCTCTATTGAATCTGTTGAGGTATAACGGACAAAGTTTGATAAATTGAGAAGTATCCTTCTTCAAGCTGTTCTCTTACTTCTCGAACATCAAACGAAATATATTTCAACTTTACGGTACGTTATTATTCGCAATTCTGCCCTTTTTATTGGATTTCTTCAAGACGGATGAGGTATATACTCGCCGTAGTTCGAAGAAAAGTTGAAGTAATGCACGCTTCCAATTTTTACAGTGTAAAAATTTGAAATTTTTAAGTTCGATTTTTCAAACAGCAAAACGAGCTTGAGGCGGGAGAAAATTCCTTCATTTGCTAATTTTCAGAAATTAGTCTACTTTCGGAAAAGTGTAAAAATTTGAAATTTTCAAGTTCGATTTTTCAAACAGCAAAACGAGCTTGAGGCGGGAGAAAATTCCTTCATGTGCTAACAAAATGACTGATGAAGGCCTTTTGATGAAGCTCAGTTTTACGTTTTATTTTCTATTCTTATTAGCATGGCTAGCAGTGCTTTTAAAATTGATCGACGTTATAGAGATGCATGATGGAACAAGGGCAATTTTGTTGGAGTTCTCATGAGAGAAAGAATGGCTTCTCATATTGTTGTATCATTTTGCATGAGGCATGATGATATACATTACCCGATAAAAATTTCAGCCCGTTTCATCGTAAAAAAAAATCCGAATTAAAAAAAATAGCCAGAACTTGGGCTATTTTTGCATATACGTATGACGCACACTTGTTTGAGTGAGACGTGACGAAATTATTTGCTTTTTTCTGATGCGCCCGAAGTGTTGTGTTAGCTTGGATGCCAGGAACATTTTCATTGCTATACAGTACTTCAGAACGATGTCTTGCCTCCGCAAAAAAATACGAGAATGCTATGTTCTTAACTTTCTAAAATCCAAGCATTTTATTTGTAAAAAAAAAAAGTAATCGTCGTCAAAGAAAATGTAAAAATATTTTACTTTTCTTTTATCAAATGTCGCTTTTGTCCAGCAGATACAACAGCATCATTTTCTTTCATCGAAATGGTAGTGGCATTCCTCCAGGGCAAATTTTTACATCATGGAAATTTTTTTTTTTGATAGAATTAAAAAAAAGTTGGTTTTTTGTTCTTGTGTGCTTGAGGTTTCTCCTAGCTGCTGCTTGAATGATGTCAAGGTTTTCTTCTTTTTTATTGTTAAGTCTCCAGCAGGACGGACATTTTCATATTTTATGTTGATAACTTGCAGAAATCACAGCATTTTCGCGGGTTTAGTAGCAACATTCATTCTTAAGCAATTATTTTAAACGCTGTTGATCAGCTTTTCAGGGAAAACACGTTTTTCAAAACGAATTGCGTCACTTGCACAATAAGACAAAATGTTTCTTTTGTTCGTCATGAATGGACTCGAAGTACTTGTATATTCAGCTAACTAATAAAATACTTTGTCTGAATAAAAATGAAGCGAAATCGGGCGAAATTTTTTGGGTGCTTCGAGAAGAAGGAAAACAACAAAGAAATCCGTCTGACGATTCCAACAACTTTTTCGGTAATTGCTGCTCCTGTAGAATTTTTTTTTCTCTCGTCCCCCCCGTACACGTAACTGCAATAATAAGAGGAATACGACTAAGCTATCATATAACCTTAGACAACCTGCAACACATCAGGCCCCAGGCTGGGATAAGTTTCCACTTTCTCCCCGAATCTCAGATTGCCAACATTATTATCGTTTTTCTTTAGGCGCATTCAAGCGACACGCGATCCTTCAGGGGGATAGCGTCAATTTTAGGGCGGTGGTTTTTTTTCTGTTGTTTTTTTTCGTTGTTTTTTTTCTGCATCGCAATCAGCATCTCAGTCGAAGCTTGCAGCGAAAATAAGCTCCCGAAAAACCAGCTGCAGATCATGAATTATCATCAGCTCTGCCACGCATTCAGATTGATCGAACCGCGCAGATCTCGTTTCAACGAAGACAGCATTTATACTGGGGGCCATGAAATTGAGAACTTTCTCTCGCAGGAAATTTCGAAGAGTTCTATATTCGGCAGGACTTAGATTCGCGCCAATCTAGAACGGTTTAAAAACGTGTCCAAGATGATGAAAGAGCGTGCTTATAGAAGTGAGTCTTTAAAAATTCAGCCGGGGTTTTCGACGACTCGCTACGGTTGTTCATACTGTACTGGAAAGAATAACAACTCCAAAGTATTTGAAAGCTAAAGTTACGCAAGAAAGAGTTTTTATTGAGCTTTGCTTGGCAGTTCTCGAGTTTTCATCCTTGTCAGCGATTTGCTGTATATAGAGAATTCGTTTTTTTTATCGGTCGCAAGATCATTCAGCTGAGTTTTTCCGTCTCGCGATCAGAAATAATAACCAATTCTTCTGATAATCAAAAGAATGGCTTGGTCATTTCTTGTTTTTGAAATATGGCATGCTGATGAATTCAAAAATGTCTGCTGCAAAATAGTGCATGTGTTTAATTGGTTTACGATGAACATATGCGACTACTGTATTTCAAACATGAGAATAAAATTCATAGGGTTCTCGCATACATCGAATGTCTATCATAACAAATTTGTCTCGCAATCAAAAAGTGGCTGACATTATGAGGACAACTGTTTTTTCAACAAAAAATTTACTTTCACCACGTACCACCTAAACTAGCAATAATACCCATGATAAACTGTGATGATCGGGAAATTTATTCAGTAACATCCATGTAAAGGTTTTGAGTTCGTTTTTGTTATTTTAATTTCTTCGGGCTAGTGTGAAAATATTCGAGACAATCAGCTCATCTTTTTTTTAGGGATTTGAATTTGGTTTCAATTCAGATGTGGAGAGAACTTCGAATGTGTAAAAATATGAGCAATTATTAAAATTCCTTTTTAGCACTACAGCTTCTGACGGATACATGCTGCTAACAGACATTTTGCTTTGTTTATGGTACTGGAAGCCATGATGTCGAAATATCCTGGCTTCAGATTGAATGTTCAATGATTGGTGTGCACTGTGCACCCGATAAGAGATAACAGAAATTTATCTTGGAATGCCGTATTGCAGCAGCTGCGAGCTCACATTATTTTTCAATCGATTTTCTAACATACGATGGTCTGGCGATTTTTCTCAATTGACTCCAAGGCTATGAAAAATTTCGCCATAAAAAAAATTGACGAAAGCGCGGGAAATTGCGATATTTTTTCATAATTTTTTATCGAACTTTATTCAGCAGGTAAAACGGAGAACATAAATTTGAGAAAATTCCAGGAAGTGAAAGTTTGATGTACTCCATGAATTTTAATTTTATTTTTCATTCTAATTTCCATTGTGAGACGGGGAGAAAAAAAAACTCGAATTGATGGTGGCCTTTCAGTTTCGTAACCCCTTTTGACGGAGATTCTCTCGGCCTTTGTCCACATTCAAGTGATGCCACAAAAAAATGCTGAATCCTGTCCGATGCGAACATTTTGTTTCGATATGAAGTGGTGCCTCACAATTCCGAAGAAACGGGGGAAAGTTAAAAAAAATCATGTTTTCCATTGTGATACTTCGGCAAGAGACTCATTCAGTCGGTCTCCGCATTCTTCAAGATTCAAAATTTGCGTCATGCGAAACGCAATTTTCCTCGAGGGTACCTTAAAAAGCACTTGATTCTTTATTCCAAACCTTCTCCAGAAGACCATCATAACCCTTAAAATCTGCGTGCATTTCCTAGCTTAAAATCTTTACTTATAAATGGGAGTAGCATGAAATTCCAGTAATCTTGGCAATTTTGTGACGTGCTCTGAACTCTCCGAAGTTTCCAAGTTTTTAGGCAAGAAAAATAAAAAACTATGCCCTTTCTCTTGTCATATTCCTCATTTTTTTAAATCTCGAAGTTTCCAAATAAAACTTGTTGTTGAGTTTTTGGCACACACAAAAAATCGTTATGACTTCTGTTCCGCGAGTCATTTTTCTTCCTCAAGAATCTTTGGTATGCACATTTTTCGCTGTACTGGTCTTTCATTAGGTGTACTATACTTACTGTACTCTAAATCTGACTTCTCTCAAGAACAATTTTCTCAGACATACAGTAGTCGGGAATTTACTGCTTTCCAACGGAGGCGCAGTAGGAGTTCAGACCCTTAGCGAACAACGCTTTGCCAAACACGAGGGAGAACAATTTTTCAAACACAACGTTGATGACATTTCTGTGCCAAACCTGATGGATAACAGACTGTGTGTGTGTGTGTTCTTTTTTAAAGGAATTCGACACGCAGTCTATTTCAATGCGTGCCAAAAAAAAATCGCCGACCACAAACCTCGTGGCCGAAGTATCCTCTAAAACCGTAGTGCTGACAGAGAGAATGATGAGTCGTCACAGCTACGACTTCCGATTTTCTTTGCCAGTCGTAAATAATTCAAGAAATGGTAATTAAACAAGAATATGGAAAACGCTTCAATGCGAGAGGTGCTGCTCTTTAAAAGGTCATAAAATGGCGAAGATTTCTTCTATAATTTTTCAAAAAAAGACCACAACTACCATTCTTGATGGGAATGGGAAAGGATTTCAAAGTTATCAAGGTGAAATAATCGAAGGGTTCCTGCATAAATTAGGCAAGTTATTGTGAGTAGGATCCCAAGACACAAAAATTACTCACCCGCTTTTATTCACGAAACTTGGCGTTCTTCAATCAATCAATAAAATCAAAACTTTTAAAATTGAATTTGTCGAGAAATGAGGACGAGCAAGAGGAATGACCTAGACTATAGAATCAAATTCACTCGAGTTGACACAACCTTTCGTGACATACAGTATATAAATCGACAGTGTCCTGCATTAAATCTCTGATAATAATAATATGCGTCGATTTCAAAATGCCGTTCAGCATTCGTAACCCGAGAAATCATAAAATAATGAAGACGATGGATTCACTAGCTGCGTGATGCGAAAGGCGCCAATATAACGTCCAGCGTGTGACATTTCGACACGTTCTATTTAACAAGAACATGACTTCCCCGGGGGTTGCAACATTACTGGTCTGATGAGGCGTGCCTACGAGCCAGAAACCGCATCAAGTTCCGGATGACTACATAGCCCACACCCGGCAGTGCCCATTCCATTCGGAATTAAGCAGCCGGGTACCGTGTTCCGTCTCTGATGAACCCTTGCGAGCCAGCGGTCGTGGGGAAATAACGCGACGAGTTCTGACATGCTCAAGTGGAGATGAGGTTCTTTTTCATTGGCTCTTGGGGGTGTGTTTCTTTTATACGTAGGAGGGACTATTCGACTACAGGTGGACTCTCTCTCTCTCTGCTACGAAATTCTCTTTACAACGATGTTTTTTCTGGGTACTTGAACCAGAGAAAAATTCTGGTACAAGAAACCGGAAAAAGGGGTCGGTGAAATTCAAGTAATCAGAAAAAATTCGTGGTGGAAAGTATTTCGTGGCAGAGTGAGTCCACCTGTAGTCAAAATTGAAGAGATTAAAAATATCCCCACATTGAAAAGATGTTGATGTGGACTTGCTCTACACCGAAATTCTCTCTACACCAAATTGTTTCTGATACTTGAACCGGAGAAAATAATTCTGGTACAAGGAACCAGAAAAAATTCGTTGTAGAGAGAATTCCGTGGCAGAGAGAGTCCTGGATTTAAAATATCCCAAAATTAAACAGATTTCGATGTGGACTCGCTCTACGCCGAAATTCTCTCTACATCGAATTTTTTCTGGGTACTTGAACCAGAGAAAAATTCTGGTACAACGAATCGAAAAAAAGAGGTCTGCGAAATTCAAGGAATCAGAAATAATTCGTTGTAGAAAGAATTTCGTGGTAGAGAGAGTCCACATATGTAGTCAAAATTAAAAAGATTAAAAATATCCCCACATTAAAAAAAAGATTTCAACGTGGACTCGCTCTACAGCAAAATTACCCCTACAACGAATTTTTTTCTGGGTACTTGAACCAGAGAAAAATTCTGGTACAAGGAAACGGGAAAAAAGGGTTTGCGGAATTCAAGGAACCAGAAAAAATGCGTTGTAGAGAGAATTTCGTTGTAGATGAGCGAGTTCACATCTAAATAGTTTATATCGTTTTAATGGGGAGAGAACCCTTATGACAAAAAAAAGACTCGTTATACAGAGAAAATGGTTGTTACAAGATCATTGTAGAGATAGTCAACGTGTATACGACTGAGGACTAAACACCTTCTCGGGTTATTCCGTGTCCATGCAGAGAAAATTAACTAGAGAAGAAGTATGCGAAAGATAGGCACCCGGGGAAAAACATTGAAAGAATTAATATTGTGATAGAAATAATTAATTTCTCATAAAAAGCTGTAAAAATGGTTCGGAATTCACTTGAGTCAGAAAATCAGGAGACATGATGAATGAATCGGGATCTCATAGACCTTCTAGTTTGAAATACAAGAACCTAGACAAAAACTGAGAAAACAGTTTAAACTTCAAGATATCAATGATGATCAGAAATAAAATCTAGAAACAAATTTGTGCTGTACAAGAAATTCGATGAGTCAGACAATCTTGAACCCGAACCTTGTTTTCGTCTCCCTAAAATCGACAGCCTCGTTTCAAATAATTTAAATCCACGGAAAATTCAGATTTATGGTTTCCTGATTATACAACTGCTGTTCCGCAGAACTGCAATAGCAATTTGGCGAAAGTTCACTTGTGAAAACCAGCATATTCTTTTTTTTTTTTGAACGTCATAGAATAGAAAATTGATGATAATCTCGGGTTACTTATTTGGAGGCCGAGAAACAGAAAATTGTTTTTCTCGACTGAAAGTTCGATTTAAAAAAAAAAGCTATGACGCAAGTACATAAATTATCTCCCGACAAATAGTACTGATTTTTCTTAAATCTCCGCGGATACAAAACACTTCTTCGACCTTCAGCTCATAATTATACTTTTCCCTTGAAATTAATGTAATCTCAAAATTTCTTTTAAAAATTGAATTCCGTATGCATCACAAGAATATTAAAGCTTCAGTTATCAATGCCATAGGTCAGGAAAGAAAAAAAAATCCGAAGTTTTTCCACGAAAAATATATTTTGAATGCAGAGAGATATGGGAAGTAGGAAAAATGTGGTTTACTTCAGCTTTCAGTATGAGAAACGCAGCGTGCATAACAAATGTTCAAGACTACTTAGACTTCTCAAACTTTATCAGAAATATTTTCCTCATAAATGGATGCTGAATGTTTTGTGTTTTTTTTTACTACAACGGGATGGTTCACATTATATCCGGCGGGAAAACTTGGAAGATCACAGAATTTGTGCGCCAGAAACAGCGGACCCACAGTTTTCCATTTTTAAATCAGTGAAGCACAATATTATTAAGTGAGTTGGAAAATCATAAACAAATCGGTCATGCTTTCAACTCGAGAAAGTAAATGAAGGAAGGTGTCCATTAAACTCGATCATCAAAAATATACAGCAATCAAAATATCGAGAAATGGCGAGACCTATTTGATGGGAGACCGTTTTTATTATTGTACTTCCACTATACTTTAACTTCCGCAGGGTTGGGCTATTTCAACGCCTCGAATTTCAGGCTCACGCGTGTAGGAAATGATTGCCTCTAATGCGAGGAAAAGCGTCCGGCAAAAGTGACGCAATCATTTTTGGTCCTTTCATTTTCACACCCTCTTTATTCCCTTATATCCTAAAACAGGACCTACGGAAGCATCCGGAACAGCAAACAAAAATATCAAGCAATTTTCGCCGAAATTTACAAGCCAGATGAATTTCGAGGCTCGGATCGTCATTCTCACGTGTGGCTCGCATGAAAGTAAAAACACGCACGAGTTTGCGGTTGTTCCACGAATACATCGCTTATAGCATCTTGTCTATTTCCTAATCCAAACTTGAGCAGTTGGTGACACTACCATTATTTTCTATACAATTACAAGCGCTGTAATTTCATAAGCGAACCCGGAAAAAGGATGACCTATTTCCCTGAATGAATGTAAATTGCACTTCCGATTGAGCAATGATTTATGAGACGATATTGCGTCAACTTCAAGGCATCGCGTGCATATTCCATTTCTTTTTGAAAATGATCGACACGTAAGCGTCAAATTGCGTAAGAATATTTATTATGCAGTAAATACAGCCTATTTATTCAATAGATCTTCTATCATCACGCTAGAACTTCATTATTCAGATTAATAATATTGACCCCTAGTCTTGACTCGAAATTCTGATCCAAAGATTTTGTGAGTCGACCAAAGGATTCAAAATGTCGATATCATTTGATTCCTGATCATTTTTTAGTATTTGGGAAACTAAAAATCGCATAACTTCTGCAAAGGTAAACGAACAAGGCAATTTATAGATTGCTTACTGCATAATTATGAGAACATCTCGACAGTATTTTGATTTTCGGTTATTTTCACAGAAAAAAAGTCTTCTTGACGATCGTGCGACAAATCGAATTCAAATTTACGATGAGATGTCATACAAAAGAACGGTTTATTCACTACACACATTTTTGGGCTAATTACTCATAGACAATTTGATCAAGACTTTGACAGTAGCATTTTAATTTATCTTGAATGCCGCTGTGTCAATCGGTTCACCTTACAAAACATCGAAAACTTATGAATTCTTTCGAGACGCTAACGCATCAAAATTATTTTTTCTTGAAATTTTCAAGTCTAACCGGAACATTTTAAAGCAACGAATACAATAATACTTATTAGACCTTCCTGAGCGTTTTCTAATCGTTTCTTTAGAACTGCATAGGATTGAGTAAACTGTGAAACAGAATTTATTCCACGAAGTACATTCACTTGATTATTTGAGCTCACTGAAATTTCAACGAATTATAAATAGTTTTCTTATTATCATCATGCAATATCTCATTTTCATTATCAATTCTCTGAAAGCGAAATGGGAAACTATCGGGTCTGGATACATTTCACGCTTTTTTTTTAATTGAAGAAGTACAGCTTCGAGAAAATTCACCGTCAGCATTGAACGAAACCAATTTCATTACCCATCAGCTGATGAATAATACACTTCCGGCCACAGAAAGAGGCAATTTTATTTGCTTGATATTATAAAATGTACTTCCTTGTCGACATAAATTTTCTCGCCTACTTGGGTTTAATATTTATGTCATTAGCTCTTTCCGTTATGGATGCATTAGTTCACGCAATTACTGCTGTGATCAGAAGAAAATTTGGGATCTTTTCTGTCTAATACAGCATACAGAATACATACACCGTACAACTTTAAGAGAGCTGATATTGCAACTATACTCGTATAGTTTTTCAGCACGCAAAAGCTGAGACAATTTTAGAAAAAACGGGATTCCGAAGAAAAACACAAGTTGACGTCGATGTCTTTCGAAATCTTAAAATTCTATGACACTAATTCATTTTTAACGTTGCTTCACGTAACTGGAGAAAGCTTCGATTTTCCAGCACATGATATCACGATCTCGGCGACAATTTAATCTATTGAAACATGTTGACATCATAAAATCTCGATTTACTGATTCTCTCAAATTAAATCAAGCAATTCGGGTTCATTTTTTGCTTCCTTTATGATCAATCAAACACCGAAAACTCACCTCCTAGATTCATGACGTATTCGTGCGATTCGATGAATTTGTCCCACACCGCCGTGACCATGTTGAAAACCGGCAACATCCTCGCTCGCAAAAAAATGCCGCACGAGGATCTAAGCACAACGGCGAACAACCGGAAATCCCTGCAAAATTTTTCTTCCCGCGCAGATAGCGGAAATGCGGCGATGCGATGCGCAAAAAAAATTTAGACGAAGAAAACCTTCCACATACGAGAAACAAAAACAAAATACGAAACGGACGAGGAACGCGTCTGATGTGTGTGCGTCAGTCACTTCCAAAGGGTTTCTTTTCTCGTCTCGTCGTTTGACCTGAGTCACGGTTCGAGTGTGCGGAGGAGTATTTTTAATGTCGTCGGTCTTGAAATTCGTCGAGGGTTTTCTTCCGTCGTGAGAAAAACATTACGAAAATAAGTCGGCCGACTGCTCCTCGGAGTCTCTCGGGATTCGACTGCAGCAATTTCTACGGCAAGTGTCTCGGACGCTCGCTCAAAGTGGACTGAGCTTGTGCAGCTTATCCGCGAAATTAATATACCCCCAACACCTCCGAGGAGAAATTCTTCGAATCCAAATACTGTACTGCATTATTATTATAGGTTGGCGGTATAGCACGGAAACTATTATTTATTTTCGAAAGCCGGAAATTTCGGGATAGAAAATGGATCTGAACTACAATCGTCTTTATATAGACTCGAAAACCGAATATTGTTTTCGGATCACTCCGTATAGGATTTTAATTTCCGTAAGAAGAAATCCACGTGGGTTTGATGATATTGAATATGCGCGCACTGAATTTCACTCTTCCGTCCTATGTACAAGAATTTTTTCAGTCCCCTGAGCTTGAGTCGGCCCAACAAATCAAATATTTTGACTGTAGAGATGATATATTGCAGGAAATTTTCTCTAAAATCAACACATCGCTGGATTTTTTCAATAGAGTATTTAATTTTCAACCAGCTCTAAATTGTAAAACCCATTAAGAGGTAAACTTAAGGATGAGTTTGATTTATTCACGACACCTGCACAATATCAAGAAACTTTCAGCAGTAAGTTATTCCCGTTTCCCTGGCGTAAAAGTATCGTCCTTTACATATCAACGCGAAACACTGCGTTTTTATTGAATCCAAAGCCTCCTGGCGTTTAATTTTGAAAGAAAAAATATTACGTTAAGAGATTAAATTATTGACGACTCACGTATTCGAGGAGCTTTCCGAAATTCCGCGTGATATCAAAATATTCCGAACCAATAACACGACACGTAAGTTTTTATGTTCATACGTAAATCAAAAGGCCCTCGTTCTTAATTGAACAAAAAAAAACTTAAAAGGATTAAAGAGATCAATTTTTTCATGAATTCTGAATGAAAAGATTTTTTGGCACGGTTTTCCCCGTTTCCACTTCAAGCCTCGGCGACCGACGAAAACTGACTAATCGGGGTTCTCGTTCGGCGCGATGCATATACAATACGGAGCGATCCAGCTGGAGTTCAGCTCCTTGTTGCTTCGAGGTTCGCCGAAAAAAAAAGAAGCAAAAAAAAAAGCAAGATTTAAAGAATCCAAGTTTTGGACGGGAAAGAAAGATATGAGCGGGAATAATTGGGTGGGATCCAAGAGAACACGGGACCCGGTGCCGTCTCAAGCATGCTACCCATGCGTCGGTCGTC